TGTTAGCCATGGGGTGGGTGCTGGGACTCGAACCCAGGTCCTCTACAGGAACAGCCAATGCTCTTAACTGCTGAACCATCTCTCCAACTCCAATAAAAAATATTTTTAAACTAGAAGAAACACATATATATTGTACTAGGTGATCCTAGCAAAATTCCTTATATTAGCATGAGGTGAGTGGCATGCAGCCCCAAGGATGAGGTTAAGGGTGGTGCGATGATTCAGCAGCATACTAGCAGCTTTCTCTAAAAACTTTCAACCTCCTGTACTTCTTTCAGTGTCTCTAACACCTTTAGTAGGCTGCAGGTGGGTGGTGAGCTAAGGAGTGAAAACTGGCTTCCTGTAATCTCTTTTGCAAATCTTGTGTTGGTGGACTTGTGCTTAACTTTGAAATGTAACCTTACTGTTTTGGGGTCCCAGCCAAAGCTGAAGCAAAAGAAGCTAATTTAAGCATCCTGTGCATAACATATCTCTGGAAGTATACTTACGGAACAGAAAATATTGGTTACCTTTGGAGGGGACTCTGTTGGCTCAGGACAACAGTGGGAGGGAGGTTTCTTCCCACATATACTCTTTAGAGCTGTTTTAATTTTATACCATATGTATGTAATATCTATTCAAAAGCATTAAGAAAATGTACCTCCTAAATATAATATACTGAAGTGCATTCACACAGTTCTCTGTAAATCTTAAAAAGAGTGAGTTATATATTTGGATGTAGAAAAATCTCCTAGATTTGTTAGGTAATAAAAGGCAGTTACAGAATGTTCCACAGTATGTCTATTTATAAACAATAAAACTATACCTTGATACATATTTCTGAACATGTGAAGCCCATTTCTGGAAAGATTTTATTAGGATAGGCTAAATTATGCTCTGCTAACATATGAAACTTAGACTCTCACTTCCTAATTATTTCTTGTGAATGCACACGCCAGTGCAAGATGGGCACCTCTTCAGGGCAACTGTTCTCCACATGGTGACTCAAGAATCCAGGTTATTGCCAGGTGTTGGTGAAGCTTACCTGTAATCCCAGCACTTGGAAGGCAGAGGCAGGCAGATCTCTGTGAGTTCGAGGCCAGCCTGGTCTACATAGAAAGTTCCAGGCCAGCTGGGGCTACAAGGACACCCTGTCTCAAAAAGACCAAAAATTAAATAAATAAATAAATAAATAAATACAGGCCATTGCAGCTCATGACTCTACCATGTAAATATATGCTCTCTACAGTTGCTGCAGCAAGGTAAGAGCAAGCTGGAGAGCCAGGTACTGGCACTAAATGCTTTAACTCAAGAGTGTATGAATCAGTTGTGTTCACAGTCTTTGAACCAGAGCTTGTCTCATTGCAAAGCTGGGTAGGAAGCATTGTTATTCCTTATATCTAGAAACCAACAAACAAATGAAGTGGGGCTCAATGTAGCATGGCACTATATATGCCACAAAGACACACAAAAAAGTAATGAGGAAGGATTCTGCTATGATTTGAATATGAAATTCTCCCCATAGATTCATGCTTTGAATCCCTACCTCTAGCTTGTGGTACTATTTTGAAGGTTGTGAAATCTTTAGGAGACGGGTTGCGGCTAGCAGAAGCAGGTCACTAGGGGCAAACCATTGAAGATTATACTGCCCCAGGTTCCAGCCGTACTGTCTGCTGTGAGTTGAGCTGTTTATTTCTCTTAGGATTAGATTTAGGCTATGTATTTTTCACAGGAATACTAAATAATGCTGTGTTCCTCTCAGTTCATTACATCAAGAGGTATAAGATATTGTTTGTTATATTACAAGTGATTTTAACTTTGATTTCTAGGTCAAGTTCTTTTCTACCATATTTTTCATGGGAAAGTTATATTTTTGCTTATTTATAATTAATAAGCATTTTATCATGAGATGTTTTGAGACTTCCTCATTAACTGTTCATTCACCAGTTTTAGTAAGCAAGCCTAGAATCAGAAGGCCTGATCTTGAACTTGGGGATTTGTGCTTTGGTAACCTTGGGGAGATGTTAAACAGTAGAACCAGAGCCAGGTTGCAGAGTTTAAGCGTAAATAAGAAATGGGCAGTGGGGGCTGGAGAGATGGCTCAGCAGTTAAGACTGCTCTTGCAGAGGACCTAGGTTCAATTCCCAGCACCCACATGGTGGCTACGAACGGTCCTTAACTCCAGTTCCATGGGAAACCGAAGCCCCTTTCTGACCTCCGCTGCTTTGCACGACACGGGCGTACTCACATACATGCAGGTAATACACTCATACACGTAAAATAAAAATAATAAATAAGCAAACAGAAAAATAAAAACAAGTAATTAAAGAAAGACTTGGGAGGCAGAGGCAGGCGGATCTCTGTGAGGTCAAGGCCAGCCTGGTCTACATAGTGAGTTCTAGGACAGCTGGGGCTACAGGGAGACCCTGCTTCAAAAAGACAATAAAATAAAATAAAATAAAATTTTTGAAAAAAATTATAACTTCTTTAATTAAAAAATTATATGTGCCGGGAGTGGTCTGTAACTTGGAACTGTGAGCTAAAATAAACCCTTATGTTGCTTTTGGCATAGTTTATCACAGCAATAGAAAAATAACTGGACAGTAAGCAAGCACGTGTGGAAGGTAAGAGGGCCTAACTCCCATGATGACTAACCCATTCCTTTTAGAAAGGCAGTAATCTGTTCATGAGGGCTCTGCCCCCAGGACCTAAATATCTCCCACTATGCTTCACTCCAAACACTGCCACATTGAGGAACCAAGGTACCCACACATGAACTTTGGGGGGTGGAACATACTCAAACCATAGCACTAGGTTATGGGACTTAGATTTTGTTTTGTGGAGGCTACTTTTGGTACACTGACACGTCACTGCTTACCAAAACAGGCTGGGAAGAAGGTTAAATTCTTAACAGTGCTGACAGATATCCACAGGGAGCAGCTGATAATTGTTCAACCTCCCTATTTTAGTTAAGCTGGTGGGTTTTGCTGATGAGGCATCTGGGCCAGAATCTTCAGGAAGTTGTGAAGAGTCAGACTATGAGGATTGAGAAAGAAAAAAAGGGGATAAGAAGTGTCATTATCATCAAATTAACTACATAATCATAAGGGCCCAGTACAAAATGAAAGTGCAAGATCCTGTTTCTAAGGTATTAAAAATTTCAAAGGCCAGCAAGATGGTTCAGTGGGTAAAGGCACAGCCAGCCCAGGCTGACAACCTGACTTTGATTCCCAGGATTCACATGGTGGAAGGAAAGAATAAACTGTTACCAGTTTTCCTCTGACCTACACATGTACTCCATGACATGTGGACACTTGCATACACATACACAACAGGCACACACAAAATGAATTTTTAAAAATTTTAAAAAATTGAAAATAAACATAAACGTCAAAGCTGTGATAACAGAACTTTATAAACTAGAGGGCCCTACAGAGCATAGGTCTTGTGTGATGGCACAGGTCACTCAGTTATAAAGCTGGTCCTGTATATCACAACCCAATAAATATGTCTACATTCTGTCATTCATCCAAAGTCCTTGAGGTTCTTACTAGTAAAGTGCTTTCAGTTGAAAGGGCAGAACCCTTGATTACAATGACTTCTGTTATCAAGATATATACACTAGTGTCTGGGAAGATACCTGTCATCAACCTGACAACCTGAGTTGATCTCCAGGATTCACATGGTAGAAGAAAAAAGCCAACTCCTGCAAGTTGTCCTCTGACCACCTGAGTACTACGGCACATGTCCCTACAAATAAATAAATTAAATGTAATAAAAACTTTAAAAATAAAAAAGTAATTAAAAAATAAAAAATCTGTTCTTCAAGACTTGTATGTATGATCACTGACATGCCATGTCATCAAAAGCGCATACTCTTTCAGATAAGTCTCTGTGCCGTGCTGTCCTGAGGATACAGGACTTGCCCTCAGGTGGGACCAGTATGAGAAATCTTTCTGTTCTCTTTGGATGACTTTCCCAGGAGCCCCTTCCATCTCTTTAGCCAGAAGTGAGCCCCGTGTGCATGACAGGAGGAACGTGGAACTATGATTGGTATAGGTGATCAGATGCCCCTCTTGTAGCTCAGGGTGCAGTACTCCCCCAAGCACTCAGCTGTGAAGAGGAGGGGTATGTCTAGAGAAAATTGGGGCTCTAGTGGAAAGAGAAGTATCTGTCATGGGGACAACACTACTGTTTCCAGAAATCAGGGTGGATAGAGTGCTGTGCTACATGAGAACTGCTGGGTATATTGAAGGATGAGGTAAGAGGAAGCCGCAGAGCCTGCCAAGGCCTGATCATGTGCTTTATGCTAGGCAGTCTGGACTTCATCCAGTGAGGACTACCCAAGTGTGGACATCCAAGTGAGGATACTCAAAGGTAGTGGTTCGAATGAGAAATGTTACCCATAGGCTCGCATATTTGAATACTTGGTCCCCAGTTGGTGACACTGTTTGGGGAGGTTTGAATCTTTAGGAAGTGGAGCCTTGCTGGAGGAAGTATATCACTGAGGGAGGGCTTTGAGCATTTATAGCCTTACCTACTTCCAGCTTACTGCGTGGGGTCGAAGATGTGATCTCTCAGCTTCCTGCTCTGGCTGCAATGCCATCCCTCTCCTGCCATTATGGACAATCCCTCTGTTCTGTAAGTTTCTCTTGGTCATGACATTTTAATTTTTTAAAATTTATTATTTCTTATGTGTATGCTTGTATTTATTGCCTGTGTATAGGTAAGTGTACCTGTGTCGTTTAATGCCTGTGGAGGACAGAAGAAGCTGTCGGATCCCCTGGAACTGGAGTTATGGACAATTGTTAGCTGCCATGTGGGTGCTGGGATTCAAACCTGGGTCTTCTGCAAGAACAACCAGTGTTCTTAACCGCTGAGCCATCTCTCCAGCCCCTGGTCATGGCATTTTTATCACAGTAAAAGGAAAGTAATTAATACACCAAATAATTGTAAGTGGTTCACAGAATATTTTTATTTCAGTACATAGATATTAACTCTGATGTGTTCTTTAAAAATAGGCAGCAAGCAGAACATGAAGCCACTGTAAAGAAAAAGATTGACAGGCCAGCAAGAAAATGTGAGTAAAAGCACTTGCCAACCAAAGTTGACAATTTAATTTGATCCCTGAATCCCATAGTGGAAGGAGAGAACCAACTCCTAAAAGTTGTGCTCTGACCTCTACACACATGCCACTGTATGTGTACACCTGAACTGACACATGCACACACACATCATACATACAACATACACTAATAATAATGAATAAAATTTAAAAATTGGTAATTTGAATCTATTCAAATTCATCAACAAAGAACCACTATTAATTGAGTAAAAGGGTAAGCTACAGAGAGGAAGAATATATTTGTAACACATTTATATGATGATGGACACTTATCAAGAAAA